TGAGCACCAGTTGTCCACAGCAGGAACCCACTCAGTAATGTGTCCTGGGTTGGCTTTCTTCTCTTGCCCGTCTCACTTCCCCATTCCCCTGCTTGCCTGGGGTCCACCTCCCAAATAAGCAACTTGCACATGAGGCCTTGTCTCAGGAAATCCTGAGGGAACCTAACCCAAGGCATCTTGTTACCTTAAGAATGAAAGCCACTTGCTAAGGGTGGAGAGCAGTCTAGAAGGAGCCGGTCTGTGAGCCCCTGCACCAGCCTTGCACTGCCCACCTCTGTACGTGAGAAAAATCCATCTCTTACTTGGGCGAACCACCATAATTGGGTTTCTGTGGCATGCAGCCAAATGCAATTCTTTTTTTGGGGGGTTGGAGTCTCACTCCATCACCCAGGTTGGAGTGCAGTGGTACACTCATGGCCACCTCAGTGTCGACCTGCTGGGCTCCGGTGATCCTTCCACTTCAGCCTTCCAAGTAGCTGGAACTACAGGCATGTGCTACCACACCTGGCTAATTTTTTTGTGTGTGATTTATTGTAGAGATGAGGTCTTGAGAAGTTGCCCAGGCTGGACTCGAACCCGTGGGCTCAGGCAATCCACTCACCTTGGCCTCCCACAGTGCTGGCATTACAGGCTTGAGCCACCATGCCTGGCCCAAATGCACTTCTAAGGGAGAGGTGGAGGCATTTTTAGTTGACCACTGATACGACTGACCGGTCATCAGTAGGATATGACTGCTAACGAGGCTGACATTGGTTGCATGACTAGCCGGATGCTGCAGGGCATGTTATAGCAAACATGGTGTTTGCTTTCCATGTAATCTTCATGTTAATACTGTGAGGGAGGCATTATCCACTCCATTTTACTGGAGCCCAGAAAGGCTGAGTCACTTGCCCATGGTAACAAGGCCAGCAGTGGAAACAGGCTTCTGAGTCCAGCAATCTTCTGCCATAGGGAGAGAGGGGCTAGGGTTTCAGCCTAAGGAGTCTGCGGCACTTAGGTCATGAATCACACCTCCCGCCTGTCCCCTCTGCTTTCCTCCTAAGACCCTTGAGCTTCTCCCATCGCCACACTTTACCCCTATGGGGCTGTGGACGTTTACTTCTACCCAAGCTACCCCTTGCACCTGCCAAAACTCATCATAAAATTCACACATGAATCACATGCTCTCCAAAACATGTACCTCTCATCTCTAAGCCTTTGCCAGGAGTGCTTTATTTCAGAAGTGGAAAACTGCATTTGGTCACTCTGGTGTCTGCAGACTTGTTGTGGGCAGAATACCCATCTTAGTGTGGCTCATAGCACCAAAAACATATACCATGATGAATAGATATTTGTAAGGCTGAAAGGGCTAGCTGTGGTGGAATCCAAGCTGAATTCAAATTTACTCCTGTTTCAAATCATTTACATCAAACTCCATCACACATAAAAATGAAATATACTCTGTAGAAGACTGCAAATATAATATACTTCATTGAACATTTAATAAATGACATTCAAGTATGATTAAAAAAGAGACAATTATAATACAAGTATTTATTAAAATGCTGACCATTTAAACATCATCTGAACCATGTCAAATAACAGTCATTTAATTTTGTGAAATGTGTTAATGAGAGCCTAGAAGTTTCCTACAAGGCTGAGCATTTTACACATTCCCAGCCTAGATGAGAAAAGAATGTGTTCTCTTCCTGGTGACTCAGGAAATACAACACACTTGCATTCTGACTGCTGGTGTGTAGACGCCAGGCTAGGACCCATGACTGGCTGGGCTCTAGAAACAAACACACAGTGCTCCTGTGCCACCTGGGACCCAAGAGACAAAGGGTGAAACTACATGCAGGGTGTGGAGAGGAGTGGGGCTCACTGTGTTCGGAGGAATGAAGGGAGAGCCATGTGCAGATATTGCCTTAACCCCTGAAATGGATGTTAAGTGAGGCAAGGAAGCCAGGAACCTTCTTTTTGTAACCATTCCAGGTCAGCAACTCTCAAGATATTTATATCAAGGTGGTTGGTAGAAAATATAAATGCTCACTGGCCCTGATTCAAGAATTTAATCATCATAACAGATGCAGCTTTGAGGACAGGTGGTTATCAAACCACCTAGAAACTCAAGGTGTCAGCTCAAAAGATACCTGTTCATCTGGCTTTAGCTGGTAAGGAATCTTTACAGATGTTTCAATGTTGATTTTTGGTAAATGTACTTCACAAGACTGCCATTTCATAAGGACAATAGATTCATTAAATCACAATACAAGACAAAATTTACAAATGGAATGACAAAATACATTTTGTTGGGTAAAGGCATTTATCACTACTATAAAATCCAGTGAGAGAAAAAGATAATTACACTACAGTTATTATCAAAAGACTTTCAGACTGTAGTCTTAGTTCAAAAGGTTAAGGATTTTACAAAAACATAATATGAGACTGTTAATTATATATGAAGAATATTTGATTACATACAGAGAATATTAATAAGTGTGGGTTTTTTCCCTCTTGAAACCAGTTTTACAAAGTAATACCAATTCCAATTAAATTTTGACCTACTTTAATTCTGCATTAATGGCACCACAAGCTGGAGCATTCAAAGTAAACCAGTTACTTTGGCCACCAAATTAGGCCATCATTATGTTTCTAAAATAATTTAACCAGGATACAATGGGTAGCCTGTATTTGACTATTGTACAGTACTTTGCAAATGTACAGATTTTAACAAATGTTTCCCATATTTCTCCAAAGTTCTGTTACCCAGGACTTTGATCATTAAATATATCAACTTTAGGGTTCAAAATACTAATGCCTCCTATGAGAACATGTGGGGTAAAACCACTCTCTGTAATATGACAAGCTACAGTCTAAGAGATGTTCCAAATCTGCTATGCTAGGACAGGGTTGCAGAAACTATCTAAAGATCTGAGTAATGTTCAGAGGATTGACCTCAGACAAGGGATTTAACATATTCTTAATTTTTCAAAAGAAACGCTGTGGGAAGGGAAAACATGTTCTATAATCTAGGATATGTTCAAGAGCCCTTGCTCTTATAGCCAAATATATGAAAACAGTTTTCCTTAAAGAAATACTGGTCTATGAGCCAAGGCAAGCTTTGGCTAAATGATTGGTTAGCTTTTGTTTGGCTCTGGAGGTTTCCATGGAAACAGCCTGAGACAGAAAAGGCAGCATTATCATCTTTATCTGTAATGCCATCTGATGAAACTGCACAGATTCATTCATGCTATTCAGAGCAGATGTATTACTTCTAATGAGCCCAGACAAAGGGAGGCATGAGTTCTATCTGGTCACACTTGGAATTTCCTGTCTTCCTCTGTTTGAAATCTTAAATTAAAATCCTGATGACACCCCCCTCCCAACCCAGCATTTCCCTCAGGAGCGTCTAGTTCAAGTAATGCTTCAATAATCAGAAGTCAAACGAAGAAACATGAAGCCCCATATGGAGTGCCACTGCCAAGTTCTTAAAATTATATGGCACCAAGCTTCCTGCAGCTGAAGAAATTGTTCTGAAGAGTATTTACAATTCCATTATGTAAGATCTCAGCCTGCAAGAAATGCCATCTTAAGTGTTTATTACACACAGTTGAACCAGATGACATCATCCATCACTTATTCCCCTCTTGATGTCTAGATCATTTTTATGTGTGTTTTAATATAGTAACACACCCTCACAATTATCTAATCTTATTTCAGGCTAGTGCTTCTCAGAAAGGCCACAAAAGCAGCCCAAGTTCAGAATTATGTATCTGAAGTACACAAAAATAAACACCACACCTCAACAACAAAATATAAACAAAACAAGATAAGGAGGCATCCCACCTTTAGCACCATATTTAAGATCATAGCAGACAAGAGTTAAAGAGGAATCCAATTCTGGGTTTTCTCCTGGAATGGGATCCCACACATAGGACCCACTTGCAGAGTTCAGGACTTTGAAAAAGGGAAAGCCTGAGAAATCCTATTAACAGAAATATCAAAATCCATGATTTGGCAGAGACAGATGATTTGACATTGTTCTTATTCCAAAAGCATCAAAGACATTGTTCGCTGGGAACAAACTGTTCACTTCAGGAGATTACCGCCAGCCTCAATGAACTAAATGATGTCTCAGTAAGTTAAAAAGACATGACACACCCCCAAGAGGGACCAACTTACTCATAGAAAGTAGTTTACAAATGAGCAGTTGGCTCCCTGATATCTGTATAACAATACGGACATGTACCACACTGAAAAGATTCAACCAATGCTCCAAAGGCAAAACATCTGAAAAACACCCACATCTCTGTGCATATGACATTGGGGTGGAAATCTATATCACAGAATGAAGTTTCAGCTTGGCCCTTTGTAGAAAGGACTAAAGGTCTAGGGAAGGGTTTGCTTGGAGATGTGTTGAAGATTCTGGTCGTTTAAAGGGGATGGGTGAGAGGCAACAAGGTTAAAACAACTTTAGATCCCATCTAATGCAAATCCCTCATCTTACTGATGGAAAAACTAAGACCTCCAGGTAAGTGTTAGATATAACCAATGGAAGAACTATGGCCAGAAGAGAAATCATGGGATTCTTAGTTCAGTACTTTTCCCATCATGTTTATCTCTCATGTTTCTTTAACTCTTTTTTTTTGAGTTGGAGTCTCACTCTGTCGCCCAGACTGGAGTGCAGTGGCCACTCCCGGCCACCGCAGCCTCAACCTGCTGGGCTCTGGTGATCCTTCTGCCTCAGCCTTCAAGTAGCTGGAACTACAGGTGCACGCTACCACACCCGGCTGATTTTTTGATTTATTGTAGAGATGAGGTCTCGTCAAGTTGTGCAGGTGGGTCTTGAACCCGCAGGCTCAGGCAATCCACACACCTTGGCCTCCCAAAGCGCGGGATTACAGGCTGAGCCACCGAGCCCGACCTTCTTTAACTCTTAAGATGCATCATTTAATCAAGCCCAGGAAATCGACTGAGAAATACCAGATAAGAAAAATGTTGCATTTTTACACAGATTTTGGCAATTTGCGTTCTGATGTGCTTAATACTAACTGAGGGAAATCCTCAGTCATCTTTTGGTAAAAATGTTTCCTCTAAGCAACAGTTTCCTTTTGTGAGACCTATTTTTGTAGGTACTGGGAAAGCTTACAGCTGAGTATTTCCATATGCCCCATCTTTGTAGTTAGAGTTGGATTTAGCAGATCCTGTATGCATCAGGTGGGTTGAAATGACAGCTATCTTGAGACTCTGTATCAATGCTTTTGGTCTCTGACTGAAGGTGGACAGAAACTTGAACCGCAATCTCCTGGCCTTGTTCATTCAGAGAGCCATCATCCGAATCTCCTTCTGGTGAATTACTCCGCCCTATCTCTGGGTTAATGACATAGATGCCATCTTGTGCATTCAAGGCAGGTCTCTCTTTAATTCTTTCTCCCATGTCATCAGGGTCATCCACACGAACAGCCTCAAACATTTCCTCCACAAAGGCACGGCAGTTTAGAATAAGGGGCGGGAGAGGAATGCTTCTTGCCAGTTCTTCAATGTAACGGGCAAACTCCATGGTCTTGAACTGTGTGACTTTGGCGAGCTCCAGGGTTTTGGCTGAGGTGATGATGGGGATGCGTTTTGCAATCTCGAAGGCCTTCTGGAGTTTCTCGGCCCCTTCGGTTCTGAAGAATTCGTTGATGGCCTTCTCTGTCTTGCGGAGATGGCTGCTCATCATGCACAGCCGTGTGACATTAAGGATGAGGGTGATTGTGAAGGCAATCAGGCAGACAACCATGTAGTAGACACTCATGTCTCCCGAGGTGAAGATAACACGCAGGGTGACAGAGTAGGAGCCATGGATTGGAGAGGTGACGAAACATGTATAGAGCCCACGATCATCAAAGGCTACGTTGGTGATGTTGAGGAAGTTATCAGAAACCAACCATTTTCCACCTGATAACCCAACAGAAGTGAAACAAAATTACAGCATACAGAATATGACTCTTAAATACGCCAGCTGCCTTATCAATATTCTGCTCCTTCGTGAAAGTACTTTAACTCATCTGCTAGGTTCTACTGTTTGTTTAAATCATGTAAAAAAGGGCAGATTGTTATGTCCAGAGTCAGAATTTAATTAGCCTGGAACTCAAAGAGGAAATCAAGATGTTCCTTCCTGACACTAATAATTACCATGGCTTCCTCTGCGCTGCTAGCATAAAATGCCTTTCAGTGAGACAAATATGTCTACATAATGCTAAATGACTCATCATAAAAATGTTTATATATGAGTGTGTGCATCTACACCACAACCTCTACCAATACACTTTAATATACTAGAAGACTATGTCTCAGAAACAAAACAGTGATTTAAAATAATGGTATCTGAAATGGTTATAAGTAATTTTTATTTTCTTTTAACTATGTTTGCTCACTTTCCAGAGTAAACTTACATAACAAGGAACAAAAGCTATTTTTTAATTTTTAGTTTTTATTTATTTTTTATTTTGGAGTATAAAAATGTATTATACGTAAAGAATATTACCACTAATGAATGCAGACAAGCTAGGACACCCTGGTACTGAGCAGAGGACGGCTAGCTCTTCGGGAAATGACAGGTACGGGTGGCTGGAGCCTCATGACATGCTGATTGGTCCATCAGACAGCAGGGCACATACAGGGAATCGGGGCATCAAGTGGCTGCTCTGTGTGCCCACACTGCTGTCCCCGTCTGGTTTGGAGCTTCCAAGGATGGCACACCCAGAAACAAGCAAGTAAAGCAAAGGGGCATCCTAAGGTGGCCCAGGTCAAAAGCTATTTTTTTAAACCTAACAATTCAATGCATTTGTTCAATACTAACTGGCTAATCTGGTATGTCTTGCACATATTAATTGTTTTGTTAAGAAAGACTTGTTAATGATGGTATCTTGCCTTTCTGGCAAGAGTGACTGAAGCACAAACCAAAAGATACATCTCACAAGTCAGGGTAAATGAACAGCTCGGCAAAGAGAATCAAGTGCCCTTGCAGCGTCCATGCTTCCTTCTGGTTCAAGCCTAAAACATACTGCCTCTCATCCACACACGAAGACACCTTCACTCAGGGAACATGTACACAGAAGTATACAAGTGTATGAAAAGCAAAGCATACTGACCACCCACCTTGATCCAGCATTGTTCAATCACTTGGCTCTGCCTGCATGATTCCTGCCTGTGTGGCAAATTGCCAGAGCACACTGTGCTTTACCTATGAAAGCCAACCAAAGGCTAACCCGTGGTGTGCGTTCCAATGACTAGGGGTGGCATCCCGGGAGGTTGGGTGGCTGCTTTTTAAGCATTCCCTGAGTGCCTAATCTTCAAAATCTCCTTCATCCCCGAGTCTGTGGCTCTGGGCTGCTTTAGTGGCACATGAATCAGTAAGCACTCTGGATTGTGGTCACTTTTATCATCGTCAAAACTTAGCTAAATTCCATAGCTGTATTTAAGAGTCTTCACTAATGCAAAAAGAAGAGGAAAATATGTACTTATGAATACAGCCATTATTCCATAAGCTTCTATGAACCTGGAGCTATGAAAAAGACACCCTTTGAATCTAAGGTATGATGAACTATAGACTCCATTCATCAACTACCACACTACGACCACAATCTAAGCTCTCTAGCTCACTTGCTGATAATAGTTCCAAGATTTATGGGCCTTATACTAGACTGACGTGCTCTTTAAACTCCTCTCACTTGAGATTCATAAAATTTAATACAATTTTCCGGAGCTGCTGCTGAAAGCATCAATGATAGATGTGAGTGGTTTTCAAAGTACTGGCACAACAGGAAAATAAAACTGCCATTCCACTTGGCTGGTCCTGTCCTAACCTAAGGCTTTGTTTATGCAGTCAGTCTCTGATGATCACACTGAATGAATAATTCAAATCACAGATGAGTTTAGTCAGGATATCCTAGGGCCCCAAGGAGATAGGAGTCTGGTTCAGTGGGACCAAACATGGAACCCCAACTGATGTTCCAAATACACATTCTAGGTACCACTCTGGAGATTCTGATTCAGTAGGTCTGTATTTTTAACAAGCTGATTAAAAATACTCTGTTCTTTCTAACAATTCAAACTATTCAACCCTTTGGTAACCAGTTCAGTCTGTAGAAGGTTAAAATATTTATTGTATACTTCTGAAGGAAATCTCACTTTTTCTAGAATCCACCCTAATATGAATAACCAAAAATATTTTTTATATTTCAAGAGGTTACACAATCTTTCTGCTGAAAAAGATAAGGTGACCTTTTCTGAAAGTGCAGCTTGTGGAAATCTCACAATTCGAAGTTCATCTCTTTAGTTTTCTATGGTGATGTCTTTTGAAATCACAACTCAAGCACTCATCAAAAAGATCTCTATAACAGACTATAACAGGACATTGGTTAAGAAAATAGCAGTGATGGCTAGGTGCAGGGGATCACGCCTATAATCCCAGCATTTTGGGAGCCCACGGGTTCGAGACCAGCCTGGGCAACTTGATGAGACCTCATCTCTACAATAAATCAAAAAAAAAAAAAAAAGAAAAGAAAATAACAGTGTGGATTAAGATGTGTTCACAGATCCACAAATAGCAAAACTAAATAGTAACCTGTTAAAGAGTAGACCTTGGCCACATATCATTACGTTTGTGTGATTTTTAAGAAAGACAAAGAAATGCAAGAAAAACGTTCCTTTTTTCAAGTAAATTAAGGTTCAGAATAGAAAAAAATGAGCTGGAAGGACTTAAGAGTTCCACAGTACCCTTCTAACTTTCGGAGACCCAACAATGGAGTTTTATGCACAGATTTATACTCATTTCAAAAAATGTCCTGGATTTCCTCTAACATTTATAGTAACTCATTTTAGAACAAAGCATTTTTTAGTTATGACAGTTTTTCTTAGGTCTAGCCAAAACCCTTCCCAATTCATCAGGAGGAGAGAAGATAGCTCCCTGTCATCATGTAAATACCTGTTAAATTTGTAACTATTCTTTTTTTCTTTCTCAGGTTAAATCATAATTACTTTGCTTTTTTTGGTAGTTATAACACTTCAGGCCTTTCAAACGTTTTAAACTATTCACCCTAGCAGCTCATCTTTGAGATTTCCTGCTGAATGTGTTAAAAACTAAGAAGACAGAACAGGAAATGAATAACTTTGATTAATTACACACTAACAAGTTACCTTCGTTTCTGCCATCCAGTTGCTGTCTTTTTGAGTTGTACCAATGAACATCTTCATAGTCAGTGGCTGTGAGAAGACATTCGATTGAAACACTAGTTCCCTCTTTGGCTATGATGACATCATCACCTGAGTGGGAACTTGCTGAAAGTTCAAAGCTTGAGGGAAATGATTCATTGTGAGAACTATGATTTGCTTCCAGTGGAGCCATTTGGTGGAAGTCCACATCTTCCAAAACAAAAGCAGCTGGCACAATAACACAAACCACTAAAGTAAACAACCAACAATGTGGCTTCATGGGAAAATGGAAGAAAGTCTTGTTTAGATCTGGAGAACGCAAAAGCTTCTATACTATAACAAGAGCACAGTGGGTAATTTATTGCTTGGTAGAGAAGTTTTCCAAAGAGTAGTAGATCCAGGTATATTTTGTAGTCTTCAAGATTAAAAGATGTAAGTGGAGACCAACCTAAAAGAAAGCCAGATATAAAGTTTAATCAACCAAGACTCATAACGGGGTGGACCTCTAGATGTTCAAAAAATGAAAAGATGTGATATTGATTAGAATAATCAGTGCTGACATCAGGTAGTAATGAAAGAGAATGCCACCTAAAAACCTCACATTGACACAGCAGAAAAAACACTAAATTGGGGAGTGGCAGACCTAGATTCAATCCCGCCTTTGCTGCTAACTAGCTGTACAACCCTAGCAAGAAGCATTCTCTCTCTGGGCTTCTGTTTTCTTATCTGTCTAGTGAGGAACTGGATAAGATAATCTCTAAGGATTCTTCCAGCTCTGAAATGCTATGATTCTATTTCACTCTGACAAATTCTATGCAACAGGGAGCCAATAAAGGCTAAAATATTTAGCTTAATGATCTTTTATTTCAACCTGCACCGTTACCATCTGTTGTTATATCAATAATGGAAATCAACTAGCACATCATAATCATAACCATGAAGCTCAAAATCTGAGTAATTCAAGTACATAGATATATTAGATATAAATAATACAGGGACACCTGAGGTAGCTTTTAAATATTAGAAAAAAATTGCATTTACTGCATATACATAAATAGGGTTTATTGACTTCTGAGGCTATAGAATCTCCCCCTGGGGCAAGAATGCTAGACAAAAGAATTTTCTTTAATAGCTTCTTCAATACCAAGAGACAAAATATAGCATATTTAACAGTTTGTAAGAATATCAAATTTCTAGCTTAGTTTGTAAGATTATGTAAGGAAGGAACTGACGTCTTAAGTGTCTAGTTGGTAGAAATGCAAATATAAAACTCCAGGGAAAGACTGCTGGGAAAGTTTAAAAGAAGAGCCATGAATAAAAAGGAAAATGACATCCCAGTCTAAGAGCCTGTGTGTTTATGATCATCTTCTTGGCAATTTGATTCCCCCTTTAAACCCTTGATTCTCAAAGAGAAATTTCAACTTCCATAAAATATGGTATGAAACGCCTAGCTTTATTTCTTGCAGAGCCCCAAGATAATTAGTTTTGGGAATGACATTTACTTTCCTTTATACTTACATGCAGCTTGCTTGATCACAGAACATAAAAAGCAATGCATCATTGTATTTTGTCATTAAACTCCTCAAAGTCTGAATTACAGTAAGGTGCAAATGTCATTTATTTTCATTAGCCCTCGAAAGGATGGTTTAATAGGGACAATAAATAATTTTCCAAATCTTTAAAATTTAAGGATGGACTATTTAGAGTAAAACAAAAAACTTCAAGCTTTGGCTATTCAAGATAGACTGAACACATGTTTACCTCTTCCTAAAACCCCAATAAAATGACACTAAGGGAGACAAAGACTTGGGCACTGGAGGGGGTTTGAGAAATAATCTAATTGATTCACCTCACAGGGACTTGCTTCTTGCAATTATGTTAGAAGTTAGTAGGAGAATCCAGATTAGAACCTGGTCTCTCTTATTTGGGGGGGGTGATGGGTGGGAACAATGGAAATAACACTTACTGAATGGCTGCCATAAGCCAGGCATTGTGCTGGGGGCTTGACATGCAGGCTCTCAAGTTATTTTTCACTACAAGTTGTGCAACGCTCTGTGAACGCAATTTTGTCCTTTATCCTAGATGAGTGGCTCTCAATGGTGATAGGCTAGTAGTGTGCTGAAAACGCTCCTGGCTTTCCCCAGGGCTTTCCTTGTGGCTTCATCCAAGTCAGCCCATCTTCATTCCTTCTACTGTTACCATTTTTTTTCTATATTTGTGCATCAAATTATTATCATTTATGCTTTTATTTTATTTTTAAATTTAGAGACGAGGTGTCACTATGTTGCCTAAGCTGGTCTTGAATTCCTGGGCTCAAGCGATTCTCTCACCTTGGCCTTCCAGAGTATGGGAATTACAAGGCGTGAGCCACCGTGCCCAGCTGCTTTTCTTTTTATGCGTATATTTTAAAAGGAAACTCGGTATCACTTCTGTGGATGAAAGTAATTGTACACATAAACACAATGAAAAAAGCAGTGTTATCAGCTTCCAGAGATACTTGTGGCCCTCAGCCAGAGGCCTGCTTTCTTTGTAAAGAAAACAAAAACAAAACAAAAAGCCCCCCACAACCTCATTTCTTATCCTGTCATCTCCTTCCTTCCCACCCTTCCCACAATTAGGTTTCAGATTAGGGATATACATTTTCACATATTCAACAGTGTCTATTCAGCCTACAGACTGGGAAAAAGTATTTGCCAACTCCAGGTCTGACAAAGCCTTAACATCTTGGATCTACAAGGAACTCAAATGTGCTGAAAAGAAAAAAACAAAAAACCCCATTATAAAATGGGCAAAAGATATGAACAGATACTTCTCAAAGGAAGACATCCGAGCAGTCAACAGACACATGAAAAAATGTTTAACTAATCATCAGGGAGATGCAAATCAAAACCACGCTGAGATACCACCTAACTCCAGCCAGAATGGCAATTATCAATAACTCAAAAAATAACAGTTACTGGAGAGGGTGAGGG